TCACCCAGAAACTCTTTTCCACTCAATTCTGCTCTTAAACCAAAACCTTTCTAAGCATACAATGTCTATTAAAGAGAGGGGACATGAACCTATATGGACAAAAATGAGAAAGAAGACAACAGCAACAATATTTTAAAAGCTGGAAAGTAGATTAATAGGAAATGACTTAAAAGACTAGAGAAAGGAAAAAATTACACTAAAAAGAAACATACTTACATCCATTTATATTTGATAAAATTTCTACTTCAGCTATAGAAAGATATAATTTTTCACTTACTAGCTCAGACAAAATGAAAAGATGTGCAATTTTCCAAAATGAAAAGATGCGCAACTCTCTGCTTGGCACCCACCTCTTTTGGCTTTCCTCGTACCTCTCTGGCACTTCTGCTGTTTGAGGTTCCAACCAAGAATTAAATGTCAAAGTTCTTCAAGGCTCAGGCTACACATATTTTCTCCTTATGCTATACTATTCCTTAAGTTACTTAATCCACAATAATGTCTTCAATAAGAGATACCCAAATTGAATCTGGACTTCTCTTCTACACACTATTTATTTCTTTTTTAAAAATTTTAACCTTTTTAATTTATTTTTGAGAGAGAGAGAGAGAGAGAGAAAGACAGCGTGAGCAGGGGAGGGTCAGAGAGAGAGGGAGACACAGAATCGGAACAGGCTCCAGGCTCTGAGCTGGCTGTCAGCACAGAGCCCGACGCAGGTCTCGAACCCACGAACTGTGAGATCATGACTTGAGCCAAAGTTGGACGCTTAACCGACTAAGCCACCCAGGCGCTCCTATGCTCTATTTCTACGTGCTCCAATGCAAACTTGGCATTTTCTCTTATGTCTCAACGCCAAAGTCAGTGTCTCCCAAACTAAACTCATGATACATCCAGCACTCCTCCACGGCAGATCACCTTTCAGAGTTCCCACATCAGTCGTTTGCACCTTCTTCTGTGTATTTGCTGTGTATTAAGTTAGAAACTTAAAAGTCAATTTTGATACCTCTGTTCTACTCACTATCCCATTATCAATCACTAACATTTGGCCTTCTCTACTATTTTGAATTCATCCACGTGTCTTCATCTCCTTCACTACCTCCTAGTCCAAAGTACCATCCATAATCTCCCTTCTGACTTACTACAAATTTCTTTCCAACTGATCATCCCTCATCATTATGGCGTTTTCTAATTTATTCAACACCTGCAGAATATTTTCAAGAAGTAAATCTGACTAACTGGAATTTAAATAAGACCTTAAAAAAAAAAAGAGGGGTGCCTGGGTGGCTCAGTTGGTTAAGCGTCTGACTTTGGCTCAGGTCATGATCTTGTGGTTCGTGGGTTCAAGCCCTGCGTTGGGCTCTTTGCTGACAGCTCAGAGCCTGGAGCCTGCTTCGGATTCTGTGTCTCCTTTCTCTCTCTCTCTCTCAAAAACATACATTAAAAAAAGAGGAGGGTGCCTGGGTAGTTCAGTCAGTTGAGTGTCCAACTCTTGATTTCAGCTCAGGTCATGATCACAAGGTTGTGGGACTGAGCCCTGCATCAGGCTCCATGCAGAGTCTGAGTCTCTTTCTCTCTGTCCCTTTCCCCTTCTTGCATGCATACTCTCTAAAAAAATTTTTTTTAATAAAAATTTTAAAAAAGAAAGAGAGAAAACTGGTGCAGCCACTCTTGGAAAACAATATGGAGATTCCTCAGAATGTTAAAAATCACCCTATGATCCAGCAATCACACAACTAGGTATTTACCCAAAGAATACAAAAATAGTAATTCAAAGAGATACATGCACCCAATGTTTATAGCAGAAGTATCTACAGTAGCCAAGACTTGGAAGCAACCCAAATATCCACTGATTGATGAATGGATAAAGACAATATGGTGTACACACACACACACACACACACACACACACACACACACACACACACAGTGGAATATTACTCAGCCATAGAAAATAATGAAATCTTGTCATCTGCAACAATATGGAGGTAGAGTTTTACGCCAAGAGAAATAAGTCAGAGAAAGACAAATATCATATGGTTTCAGTCATATGTGGAATTTAAGAAACAAAACAAACCAGCAAAGGGACCAAAACGAGAAGAAGGGAAAAGAAGAAACAGAAACAGACTCTTAGCTATAAAGAACAATCTGATGGCTACCAGAGGCGAGGGCGGAAATGGGTTAAACAGGTGATGGGGATTAAGAAGCGCAGTTGTGCGTCAGTCGGTTAAGCATCCAACTTCGGCTCAGGTCATGATCTCACCGTTCCTGGGTTCGAGCCCTGCATCAGGTTCTGTGCTGGCAGCTTGGAGCCTGTTTTGGATTCTGTCTCTCTCTCTCTCTCTCTCTCTCTGCCCCTCCCCCACTCATGCTCTGTCTCAAAAATAAACTATAAAAAAATTTTTAAAAACCCCAACGCAATTAAGTTAAATTAAATTAAAACAAGGTAAATCTGACCCCAAATCCCTCAACTGTTTCTCACAGCCCTTGGAATAAAGACACAAGGCCCTACATGGTCTGGCAACATCTATCTTTCTAATGTCATTTTGTAACATGCTCTCCCCCCTCTCTGCTTTAATCACTCAAGCCGTCTCTCTGCAGTGGTGCTCCCCCTGCTCCATCAGCCTATGAGGCCTCTGTGTATGCCCTCTGTATGCTAAGAAATCTGCTAGCAATTATCTTGCAGATTTAATTTCTTTATTTTACTCAGGTAAATATTCATGTCTTCCTTGATTAAGTTAAATATGCCTCTTTACAAACTTTCATAACATTGTGTATTTTTGCCCTGGAGCACTGGTTATAATAGTAATTTTGTTTTCATAGTTATTTAAACTCTGTCTTTCCCAAGGTTATAAACTCTCTGAAGGCAACCGCCCTGAGCGTTGTGGCTTACCCTTGTATCACCAGTGCTGGACAAAGTAGCCATTCAATAAACACCACAGGGACAAGGCGGAACTGAACTTCCTTGAAGTCATACAAATTATACAGTTATTAAAAATAAGTAACACGCAACAATATGAATCTCAGCCATTCTGTTGAGTGAAAAAAGTCAGACACAAAAGAGTACATACTGTATGATTCCATTTATAAGATGCTCAAGAACGGAGAAAACTAATTAGTGTAGATGTCAGACTCATGACAATTTGGGGGCAAGGGGCACTGATTAGGAACGGTCATGAGGGAACCATCTGGGTGGTGGTTACATGGATGTGTATACACACACAAATACATACAACACATACATACACAAATTCACTTTTTTTAGTATGCTTTTCTGTATATCTTATTATACAAAACAAGAGGAAAAAGGGAAGGCATTTTGTGGGGAAAAAGGTAAAAAAAAAAAAACAATTAAGTACTGATGAGAAATATGCCTACAAGGCTTTGGTAAATTAAAATACCGTATGTTATGATCATGGTTTGGTAAAACAATATACACATACAGTCCTTCTGGTTTCTGCAGTGACAGAAGTCTTACTCTAATTAACTTAAACAAAAAATTCATCTAGTGACATATACTTGGAAAGCTTACTTAGCTTCAGTGAAACTCTCTAAACCATTCAACTTCTAAAAATTATTAGGGCACCACTCAGAGGTGACCATGAAAATCACAAGCTCACTCTTCTCAGAGTGCTAAAACCAGGCCTGATCCAAGTTTTAAAATAAGCCTTCTCACCTTCTATCAAAAAGTCTGTGTGCCTATGTATCTGGAGAGATGTGCCATGTAGTTCTGGAAGAAAGTGACAGCAAGCTATTTTTTAGGCACAGGTCCCCAGTACTAAAGGCACAAAGATTCTCTGCAGGCATCTGAACTGCTTTTCAGATGGGCAACTTTACATAACTCACTGCAAAGTGAACAATAACAAAAGTTCATTTACTGATGATATTAATTCTTAACACAATTGCAGGAAATCCCATCTAGTCATATGCAAATCTCTAATATACTGAGGCCTAAAAGTGCTCAGTGTTTCAAAGACGAAAGTGTCTCCCTATGGGGCGCCTGGGTGGCTCAGGTCATGATCTCACAGTTCGTGAGTTCAAGCCCCGCTGAAGGCAGTCTGTTCAGATTCTGTGTTTCCTTCTCTCTCCTCCCCTCCCCTGCTCCCTCATGTGCACTCTCTCTCTCTCAAAAATAAACATAAAGTACATTAAAAAAAAAAGTATCTCTCTCAAATCACATCAAACCTAATGATTTCTTAAATTTACAAGTTATGCTTTATTTGAAAATTTCCCAGGTCAGATGCTGAAGATAGCCATACATCAGCAGTTTTACAACTACTATTGTTTTCAAGAACTTAGAAAAAAGAATCAGGTACGTTTCATAGATCCAAACAAGTATCTCATTCTTTCAGTCATTCAGTAGACATGAGTACCCACGATGCAGACTGAATCATGAAAAGCTGATGTTATTTGTGACCTACAAACGGCATTTTCATGAGATTCAACGAAAAACCAAACATTGTGCTAGGATATAACTGTGAACAAAACGAATTCCCTGCCTCTGTGTGGAGCCTACACTGTATGTATGATGTGCATGTGTGTACACACGGATGTGGGGGAACAAGAGTAAAACAAATGACTATGTGGTATATAAGAGAGTGTTATATACTTCAAAGAACACAACCAGTTCAAAGTGAATGGTTGTCACTTATTTTATATCAATGATCAGAGAAAGCCTCACTAATAACATCTGAGCCAAATCCTAGAGAGGGATTAAGCCTCTAGATTATTCTATGAGAAAATCTCATCACTATCATGAAAATTTCTGCCAAGCTTATGCTGAAAAACACAAGAGCAAATAATTCTGCTAAAACTACTGGAGGTTTACAACAATTAAAGCTTTCAGCCAGTCAATCTGTACCTAAATGAGTACAGGCCACTGACACAGTTCTTATTCTATATCCAACACAAGCTTCATGTAAACACTTCATTTTTTGTCCATATTTTCAATCTAATAAATATTCAAATATAAGGATATACAAAAAGACAAAGCAATTTATTCTTACATTTTTTGAAGAACCTGGGCCATCACAACCCCATTCGTTAAATCTTCTACGGTCTGGCATGGTGCATCCACATTAAATGTCTGGATCTAGAAAATAAAAAGGGGGGGTGGGCGAGTTGAGTTTGGGGGATTTCATGGTTAACTATATAGAAGATTTCTTGGCATCTTTTTTTTTGTGACTCTCTCATTTTGGGAGTAGGAATACATTTTAAAAAGTACATGAGTTGGAAAAATTTTCCTTGTGGGAAATTTCCTGCACATTCTTAGTGTAATTTTTTTCCTTTGGGTAGAAAAAAAATTGTGCTGGACACCTAGTGACTTCCCAGCATTCATTCTCCTCACAGATAATCAATGTAAGCAAGTCCTGATACCTTCGTCTCCTTTACCAGTGACAGACTCAGAGAGTCACAGGGCAAAACAATTTGAACCAAAGAGCTTACTTGAGTTTCTGGGAAAGAAAAGCCAATCACCTCTTTTTTTTATTTTAATTAACTTAAATTTAGTGTTTTTAATCTAATTATCTAATTTTTTAATCTATTAAATTAAATTGTTAAGTAATCTCTCACCTAACATGGGGCTTGAACTTACAACCCCAAGATCAAGAGTCACGTGCTCTGCCGACTGAGCCAGTAAGGCGCCCCAAAGTCAATCTCCTCTTCATGTGAACGCATGTTGACTCAGTGGTCACGAGCAGTCGTCTTGGCTCTTAATGGAATCCCATTTACAATGAGGCCAACACAATGTAAGACAGAAGGATACAAAGAACTAGGTCCTTGAGGTCAAAACTGAGCCACTGAACTAAAAACTGTAGAAGTCTCATATTATAGGAGATAAATTTAAGCCTGGCCAAGTTGAGACTTCTTTTACTTAAAGCCAAAATATCTTTATACAGATGTACAAGTCACATTTACTACACTAAATATTCAATTAGTTTATATTTTAGATGTATTCTGAATTAGGGGCACCTGGGTGGCTAAGTTGACTAAGTGACTCTTGTTTCAGCTCAGGGTAGGAGCTCACAGTTAGAGGAGATCTCATTCCCTTGCTGAGCGTGGAGCCTGCCTGGGATTTTCTCTCTCTCCCTCTGCTCCTCCCCAACACGGTGTGTGTGCGTGCATGTGCTCTTTCTCTCTCTCACTCAAAAAAAAAGTATTCTGAATTAGAATTTTGCAAAACAAACTACCTTTGTATTAGTCAACATGACATGCCTGAAAATAGGAGAAATTATTTCCATGAGTAAGATAATATAGCCAACAATGATTATACCCAATAGTGCAACCAAGATTTAGAAAAAAATAAATCACTGAGAAAAGACAGATGCAGGCCATGCTCCTGTAGTTTACAGGTTAGCAAAAAGAAAGAGTATGATAGGAAGTGTAAACAGCAACACAAAGATTGGAAATGAGAGTGGGATACAGTCTAGGAATGAAAAACGTTTACTTGGCATGGGATAGGGGGCGGGAATGCGAGGAAGAGATGAAACAAGGAAAAGAGTGAAATGTGAAAGATGAGGTAAAGAAGAATGCATTATTGTATAAAACTTCATAAGCCATGTCAGGACTCTATCCTAAGGGCAATGGGGAGTAAGAAAAAAAACCCAAGCAAAAGACAGAGGCCATGAGATTTGCACTGCATAAAAATCATGCTGGCTGCAGTATGAAGAAAGGATTGGAGGGAAAGAGGCAGGCACAGAGACCTGTTTTAGTAGGTTTACATTATTTACACAGAGGACATCAAACTAAGTAGCGACAATAGAAATACTGGGAATAACAGTTCTTCTCACACATTTTTATTTACTGGGTTACATTCTCAGAAGTGAAACTACTAGTCAAAGTGTATGCACATGTTAAGGTTTTTGATAAATATTGACAAACTGCCCTTAACAAATGTTGTTGTAATTTAGTCTCTTGCTAACAGTAGATGAATGTCTACCTCTTTGTACTGTATTATCTATCAAACCTTAAAAAAAAAAAAAAAAAAAGGCTAACAAGTGCAGTCAATAGGTTCTCTATATTTTCTATATAGGAGAGTCTTGCGGGCAGTGGTGGTTACAGCGGTGGAAACTAAGGGAATTACCTTAAAGCATACCATACCACAAGTGTTTTTTTATCTAGGTATCCACTTGGGAAAGGTGATGAAAAGAAGCAGTCCCTGGACACTAACCTCATACGTGGTAGAGGTTCAATAAATAGTAAATGAAAAAATGGAACAAATAAACACCATCTGCAGGAACAGAGATTAAATTTTACTCCACACTATCTCCAGTGGCTTCCTCAATGATAATGTGGTAACAACAATGTACTTTAAAGAGATAAGCACCTTTCATTTTACAGTTGATAAATCAATCTTTCTTGTAGGTTTGTTTAGAATGAAAAAGCAGCAGCAGTGAGAGCCACCTCTCATTTATCTCTCTCACCAATCTTAGTATACAATGTCTGACACAGACACCCTCAGTGAGTATTTTTTGAATATAATGAATTAATTCTATCCCTAGCTTTGCCCCTAATTTGCTGTGTGAACCTGGGTGTGCCACTTTACCTCTCTTATTATGAGTTTTTCAATCTAGCAGTTGGGAAAAATACATTAGGGGGAGGTGTGCTGCTATAAGAATAAACGAGAGGGGGTGCCTGGGTGGCTCAGTCGGTTGGGTATCCAGCTTCAGCCCAGGTCATGATCTCACGGCTTATGGGTTTGAACCCTGCGCTTATGGGTTTGAACCCTGCACATCGGGCTCTAGGCTGACAGCTCAGAGCCTGGAGCCTGCTTCAGATTCTGTGTCTCCCTCTCTCTCTCTGCCCCTCCCCCGCTCACGCTGTCTCTCTCTCTCTCTCTCCTAGAAATAAATAAAACATTAAAACATTATTTATTTCTAGGAGAGAGAGAGAGAGACAGCGTGAGCGGGGGAGGGGCGCAGAGAGAGAGGGATTCACAGACTGACACAGGCTCCAGGCTCTGAGCTGGCAGTCAGCACAGAGGCCGACGCCGGGCTGGAACCCACGAACCGCGAGATCATGACCTAAGCAAAAGTCGGACGCTTAACCGACTAAGCCACCCAGGCGCCCCTAAAAAAATTTTTAATTAAAAAAAAAAAAAAGAATGAGAAAATGAATGCACTTTAGGTATTTTAGACTTACAAGCAGTGGTTCCGAAACCTGGCGTATATCAGAATCATCTGGGAAGTTGCAGAATGCAGGGAATCTTTTAACAAGATCACCAAATAATTCTTATGCAGTGGGACACTGGTTGGGCATTTTATTTAATTTTTAAAAATTTTTTAAATGTTTATTTATTTTCGAGAGACAGAGTGCGAGTAGCGGAGGGGCAGAGAGAGAGGGAGACCCAGAATCCGAAGCAGGTTCCAGGCTCCGAGCTATCAGCACAGAGGTGGACGGAGGGCTCAAACCCACAAGCTGCTGTGAGATCTGACCTGAGAGAAGTCGGAGGCTGAACCAACTGAGCCACCCAGGCGCCCTGAATTGTACATTTTAAAAGAATGAATTTTATGGTATGTGAATTGTACTTTAATTTAAAAAATAATCTCTCCTTTACCAGTTCTCATAAACTGAGTTAACATCTACAGGATATTTCAGGATAGCATTACAGTAAAATTTAAAGATAATTACACCTAAACACCTTAAGGAGTGAAATCCTATGGGAAAGGTCATAATCTCTCTTTCAATTCAAAAAGCAGTATTAACACACCTCCTCCACCTCACCCTCCTGAACAAAAGCATGAGAAAGAACATGAGATCACCTGAAATTAGTATCTCTAGAGGAGAAGCACTCAACCAGAGATGATTTTACTCCCTATGAGACATTCTTGGTTTTAACGAATTAGTGGGTGCCATTGGCATATAGTAGGTAGGGGTCAGGGATACTACTTTCAAATAAACAGGGTGCTGTCCATAACAAAGGAATTATCGAGTCCCAAATGTAAGTAATGTTAAAGTTAAAAATCCCTGCTCTTCGAGCAGTGGTTCTCAAAGTGTGGTTCCCCAAGCCACTAACAATAGCATCTCCTGGACGCTGGTTACAAATGCCGAACCTTAGGTCCCAGCCCAGACCTACTGAATTACAAACTCTGGACATGGGGCCTAGCAATCAGTGTTTTAATGAGCCTCCAATGATGCTGATCAAACACAGAAATAAAGTTACTTATCAAAGTCACCCACAGTTAGTATGAAACAAAGATAGGATATGAACCCAGGTAGTCTAATGTCAGAGCCTATACTCTTACCTATCATTTTATATGGACCCTCAATTTTTAAAAAAGAAAGAAAACTAAAGCTTTTTAAAAATGCGTGCTTTAACTTTTGTACATGGATTTCCTTATTCCTCCATCACAGGACAAAAACTGTTGGCAGAATGGAGTTAGGCAAAGCAGAGAATGGAATGTGGGAGATAACCATCACAATAATTATACCTTCCTCAAGTCTATACACTAGTATGCATTTCATTGGCTGCTAAGTAATATAAAAATTACAAGGATATGTTAATGTTGCTGGGTTTCCCAGAAGAAATGTACTGAGCCCATGTGACAATTCTTTTCCCGCTTCAGCTTCTTGCCATTAACCGGTAGCATTCCAGATTTTTTCTGGTTTTTCAGTTTCTAAAACCCAGGAAATCCCAATCTTTTCATGTGAAGTTCAAGAAATTAGGCTTGACAGGTGTAATAGGCAGGGTAGATTTCTCTAACAGGTAAGAATACATTTTGACTCAGAGGGCGGGGAGAGGAGGTAGAGTGGAAATTTTCAAGCACATCCTGCTGAACTTGCTTGCTGCATAAATTCTGATATGGAATTTAAGTTTAAGGTATTTTCCTTTAGTAGGATGATACCTTGTGTTTTCCTAAGTATTCTGCTTTAAACAAAAATTTGGAACATTTGGTTCTTGAGCTAGTAGGCTCTTTGATACAACAGAAATTTATCCAGCATTGAAGGCAATTAATTCCATGTCCACAGAAATGAATTCTGTGACTAACATACATCCCTTTAGGCACCTGAGGTTTTATTAACTATTCCTAGTGGAAGAATTTTTAAAGTGTACAAAATACCGCCTATCTAGTACTAAATGCTATGTAGTGAAAATAAACTTTTCAAGATATCCAAGATCTTAATTATGATCTTCAATAACTAAGCATGGAGGCTCTTGGATTCCATAAGGCTGTCAGCTCAAAGGGTGAATGACCCAGACTGAACTTTCAGTTCTTGGATCTTCTAGGTCACTGGCAGCTGTCTCGTATCTTGCCTAATATTGCAGTTACCTTCTAACCTTCTGTGTGAACAGAACCCACATGACCAAGGTGGCTAGAAGTTTATGTAAAATAGAGTAAATCAGTCTAAATGGGAGTCTATTTTTTTCTAAGCAGGCTCCAAGCCAAACATGGGGCTTGAACTCAAGACCCTGAGATTGAGAGTCACATTCTCTACTGACTGAGCCTACCACGTGCCCCAATGGGCATATTTTTTTCCCTTACACTTGGTTTTGGAATTGTTTTCTGCTTAAGCTGGCTTCCAGATATGGAGAGGAACTACTAGACTGAATGTACACTTTCAGCTATCTCAAACATTTTCTGCACATTTATTCTGCTTTTTGTAATGACAAGAGAACAAATCCAGCATTTAAATTCAACTTTACTTTGAAACTTTTCAACTAACAAGGTTTTAAAATGTTTCCAAATCTTAGAATTGTACACCTTTGTGTAGACTCTGCTCTCCAGTTTTGTATTGACAATCTCTAATCTAAAAAATATTTTTTAATGTTTATTTTTGAGAGACAAAATGTTTATTTTTGAGAGCCATCGGGAGAGGGGCAGAGAGAGGAGGAGACACAGAATCCTGTTCCAGGCTCTCTGCTGACAGCACAGAGCCCAACGCAGGGCTTGAACTCACAAACCATGGGATCATGACCTAAGCCGAAGTTGGATGCTTGACTGACTGAGCCAGCTAGGTACCCCAACAATCTCTAATCTTATTTTCTCCAGAAATTTTCCTTGATGAGCTTTCCAGTGACATTTCAAAACTCTTTTTATGGGGGGCCTGGGTGGCTCCAGTGGTTAAGTGTCTGACTTCGGCTCACGTCATGATCTTATGGTTAGTAGTGGTTCAAGCCCCAATTCGGGCTCTGTGTTGACAGTTCAGAGCCTGGAGTCAGCTTTGGATTCTGAGTCTTCCTCTCTCTCTCTCTCTGCCCTCCCCCGCCTCGAGCTCTGTGTGTGTCTCTCTCTCTCAAGAGTAAACATTTAGGGGTGCCTGGGTGGCTCAGTCACTTGAGCATCTGACCGTGGCTCAGGTCATGATCTCATGGTTCGTGGGTTGGAGCCCCGCGTTGGGCTCTGTGCTGACAGCTAGCTCAGAGCCTGGAACCTGTTTCAGATTCTGTGTCTCCCTCTCTCTCTGACCCTCCCCCACTCATGTTCTTCTCTCTCTGTCTCAAAAATAAATAAACTATATAAAATTAAAAAAAAATTAATTTTTAAAAAAATATTTTTTAATCCTTTTCTACAGCACCATTTTCCTGACCTCTCTAGGAACCTGGGTTTTTTCCCTTGATATTTACCAGATTCTAAATAGATGCTCTTATATCAAGTGCTTCTGTTAGTATCCCTTCAAAGTTCCCACTACAATTTTTCCTCTATATTTTTATTAGCATTTCTCACTCAAATAATTGTACCAATTACCATTTTTTGCAGATGCTCTTCAAATACATCTCTACTTTCAAGACTTGTCTTTCTAGACTTTAAACAATGTGGCCCTACTTCAGGTTCAGATAGCTTCCTCATCTTTCCTTCTTGCTTCTTTTTCTAGCATTGAGGGAGGCACTGGTATAGACTCAAAAAGCACACCTTCAGATTCTCAATCTTCTGTTTACAACCTCTGCCAAATCTAGTTCTTCCACAGTACCAAAGAATGTGGTCATTCTTTCCTTTTATCTCTTCCCTGCCTTGGCCACATTATGCAGCTTATCAGTTTTTCTCTCCTCTAAGATACAGCAGCAAAATCCATCTCCTCGTCTGAAGCTGGAACCCATTATATTTGGAAGTTGTATGTTAACTATGTATTACTGCAAAAAACAAACAAACCTCGAAATCCCAAGAACAGCCTAACATAAGAGTTACAGAACGTATCAAGGCCGACCATCGTATTAGATCAGATGTAATCTGATTCCTGACACAAAACACATTATGAAAATCTGAGTATTTTCACCACCTTTGTTACAACCTATCCAAGGCGATGCTTCTCTGACCTCTCCACGGAAGTGCCCCTACACGGGAGAGTGACATCTATACTTCAGGGATCTGAACTTAACTCAAGGCACCGCAGAACAGAATCTTTGCCATCTATGTCTTACCTTTAACATTAACCCAAATGCTGTAGTCACCTCAATCAATATCTTATTCTAGAAATGACATTTAACATTTTTAGCTATGAGTAAAATTCCAGGGAAAAGCATTAGGTTTTTATTCCGTGGCTCTGCAGACCTCTACACACACATACACCAAAAACTGACAGTTTCTGAAACACACAGCATCCAGCTCTCGAAGAAGCTGCTAAAGGCATAATTGTTAGCATTAGAATCGAATACGTACGGACTTTAAAACGTGACCATTTTAATAAGTGTTTAATAATTTAAGATCAGAATCCCACAACGTTGCCCCCAAACTGTCGAGTTCCATTACTGATGCCCACACATCTTTCAGATGGGTTTTTATATTTATACCTTTAACAAGTACCTCCACACCGATTACTTTCTAATCGCTTAAGTGCATCTCTCATTTAAAATATGGTCTCGGGGTGCCTTTTCATATTTTTCCCATCCTCCTTTCAAAGTACTTTTCTCTTTCAGGGGGCCTGGCTTATCCCCCAAGGGGCTAACCTCAGTCTTCCGTGAACGCTACAACAAAGGCGAGGAGCGTCGTAACCAGGGGTCCCGAGTGCCTCTACCGGCTGCGCGGGGCGCAGGGACAGCCAACGCTTCGGTGTCCCTGGCAGCGCGAGAGGGAAGCACCAGCGTCTCATCAGCTGCAAACAACAACAATCCTAATCACAGTGACGCCTGCACCCCATCATTAACCTCCACAGGGCCGGTTTCCTCTCGGAGCGCAGCCAACACCTCAAACCTCAAGCCTGGCAAGTTCCCTCCCGGACCCGGGGCCGAGCCCCCAGCGCTCAGGCGCTCCGCGCAGCCCCCCGCCCCACCCGGCCGCCGGGTAGACGCGGCCCGCACCGGCGTCCCCCGGCTCCGCCCGCCCCAGGCCCCGGATGTGACGGCACCGCCGCCCTCGGCGCTTGCCCCCCGCGACAAGCGTGGGGGATCCCGGAAAGGAGGCCTGGGGGAGGGGGCCTTCCCCCGACCCGCCAGTCATCACATACCCAAGTGAGAAGGCTCTCGCACAGCTCCACCCGCTCCACCGACTCCACGTTGAACATCTTCCCCAGCTGGGGTTTGGCAGCGCCTCCCCACCTCTCCAGAAACCGCTGCCGCTCGGTCTGGGGCTGCGTCGGAGGGTCCGGGCAGTTGACCTGGCCTCTGGTCCACCTTCTCCTCCGGCCCGGGCCGCCGACTATCTTCCCGGCGCTGCCAGCGGCTCCCGCACCGTCACCCCCGCTGCCCCTCCTTCTCCTTTCACTCGGGACCGCGCGCCCGTCGCGCGCGCCCCCGGCCACGCCCGCAGCCCCGCGTCCCCGCCCCCAGCCCCCACACCCCTCCTCCGGAGAGCGCCGGCCCTGGCCAGAGCCGCGGCCGACGAGCCACTGCGCACAATCGCGCTCCGGCCGGCCCGCCTCCCCGCCGCCGCCGCGCGCGCCCCGACGCCAGCCCGCTGCGTGTCGCGGCGCGCACGCGCCCGGCCCTGGCGGCGGCGGCGGCGGCCACGGCGGCGGCGGCAGCGGGTCTTCCTCGCCTGTCCGCTCGTACTCTCACGGAAGCTCGGCAGTGCGCGTGCGCCTGTGTCCGCACTCCAAATTAAAAAAGAGACAGCTAGTGGTTGCCTGGGAGGGTGGCGGGGGCTGTGCCCGGAAATAATCTCTAGTCTCAGTCACCGGGAATTGGCGAGGTATCCTCTGCGGTGGAGAGGTACGCGCCCCCTCCCCCTCCGCGGACGCCCGGCCGCGGCCGGCCACGCCCACCCGCCGCAGGGCCCGCGGGAGCCGCGGGCTGGGCTCCGGCAAGGGCGGGACTGCCCTCGGGGTCGCTTCGGGCTTCGGGGCGGGGGAGTCGCTGCCTGCGACTCCAGGGCTCCGCCTTCCTTTCGGGAAGACCGGGGCTAAGCCCTAGAGTTGCCCGGCTCCGGCCCGGAATTCCGGAGACCGTGGAAGGACCGACGTGGCGGGCGTCTGGTGGTTCTAGGTGCTTGGCCGGGTGAAGAGAGCCGGCCGTTCCTTCTTGGGTGGCGGTGAGCCTCGACTCCCTGAAAACTTCGGCTAAGTAGGGAGAGGGTAGGGTGTGGGCCAGTTAGTCCGTGAGGACCCTGGTGGTTCCTAGGGCCCGGTTCTCCTAGCGCTAGAGCTAGGAGTTGGCCGTCTTAATTAATGTCTTGATCGATTGTCCTCGATCTCTTTCACCTTTTTAGAGTTGTGGATTTCTGCAGGAGTGCCAGGATATTTTTATGCGGTATAACATATGCAGAAAAGTGCATACAATGTACATAGTTAAAGGAAAATAATAATAAGCACACAGATAAAAACAAAAGAACACTGCCCGTACTTCAGGAGTTCTACCCACACGTAGCGTTCCTTCCTGAGAACAATTCCCTCCTGAGACCGACTTTTAGGTTACTCACTTTTTGCTTTTCCTTAATAGCTTTACTATGAACATGCCTAAACAGTATATTTTTACTTTACTTGTTTTTGAACTTCTATGAATGGGATCAGTGTATTTTCTGGTTTTGAATTAATAGTAAGCTTGTGTATATAGGTAATTTACATTGCTGTCTAGTATTCCTTTGTGTGGTTATAACAGTGTACCCATTCTCTTAATTGACATTTTGTTGTTCAAGTTTGGGGCTACTAAAAACAGTGGTGTAAGCATTCTTACACCTGGATACTAGTGCAAATGTGTAAGGGTTTCCGTAGGATACATGCCTTGGAGTCCTAGAATTGTTGAGTCATAGGATCTGCTTAACTTTATTAAGATAGTGCCAAACTTTTATTTGGAGTGCAGCAAACTTAACTTCCTAGAGCACATCTTTGCTCTGGTTTGCCAGCTCCTGGACCCCCCTTTTCTCATTAGGAGTCGGTTTTGTCATTAAGAATTGGAGTGAGTTTTTAATGATGCCTTACGGAGTACCAGTTAACAGTTCACGCGTGATGATTTATCATTTTGTAAATGTAAAAAAAAAATCTTACCGGAAGTCTTCTCGATGGTCTTTTTAAAAGAATATTCTTCTCTATGCCAAGGGTAGAGAAGTGTTTAGAAATGATAAATATGTATCTTGCTTGCCTTTGTTTCCTCTGTTGGTGCCTCTGGATCTCTGTCAAACCAGAGTTCCTACATTCCATACTAGGTTGTGTCCATCGAATCCTAGCGCTTTAATGACCATTCCCCTTGTTAGACACGTAAAGTCAGTAAGTATATGTTACATTGACTTAAGCCTGACTCACCTCAACTTGTGTTTTGATGTGAAGAACTCTATTCTAGCCTTTTCTGAAGGGACTGTGTTGTAGTGAACACCTTTACTTGAGCTGCTTAGGTTTTTAAGGCTTTGACACAGATGACTTAAGCCCCTTTTTTTTAATCTTGATTGCTCACCCATAATGGATTTATGCATGAAACTGCAGTGTTCTTGAGATTTCATTTGAGGCCCCGATTACCCTCAATGAAGGAAATTATATTAAAACTTCTTGGTTGTAACTGTCTGCAGAAGTCATATGACCATGTGTCTACATGAGCTTGGGTAAAAAGATAGGATTTCTCCTTTGGAAATTTCTCCTTTGTATTTTCCTTATTTTAACCTAGCTTTTTTCTGAAAATTTTGGAAAAGACCAAGGAGAGAGGTGAGTGTAATTTGTCTTAGCTGTCTCCTTACTTTGGTTGGTTGGAGACTAGTTGTCATCTGGAGCTGTTTATCAGATTCAGATAAACATGGTGGTGTCCTGTGTGGCACTGTTCCCAAGTTTATGCTGTTTTCCCAGGGAATACATACTTAGAGCTTTGATTAAAGAGAGTTTGAGATGCACCATAGTGCAGCTATAGGGAATGCATGGCTAAGTTTTATAGTAGTTCTTCTTGACAGTTAATAATAGTAATCAAGGGCTGCTTGGCTGGCTCAAACTGTAGAGAATGCAAGTCTTGATCTTTGGGTTGTAAGTTGAAGCCCCACGTTAGGTGTAGAGATTACTTTAAAAAAATAAAATCTTTTTTAAAAAATATTTTTGCATTTATTTATTTTTGAGAGACAGAGACAGAGCGCAAGCGAGGGAGGGGCAGAGAGAGAAGGAGACACAGAATCCGAAGCAGGCTTCAGGCTCTGATCAAGTGTTCAGCACAGAGCCTGATGCAGGGCTCAAACCCATAAACTGAGATCATGACTTGAGACGAAGTCAGACATATAACCCAACTGAGCCACCCAGGTGCCCTCCAAAAAATAAAATCTTAAAATAATAATAATAATAAAGTATTATAACTGCTTTCTGAGAGTCTGTATGGTGTAACAAGCAATGTGCTAAATATGTTACCTTCATTATCTCATTATAAACTCCATAAAACAAGGAGCTTTTTTTTTTTTTTTTTGGTTAAAAAAGTGGGCACTTGAGGGGCACCTGGCTGGCCACTAGGTAGAGCATGCAACTCTTGATCTCAGGGTTGTGAGTTCGAGCCCTGTGTTGGGCATGGAAATTACTTTTTTTAAAAAGTGGGCATTTGATATAGTTAGAATTATTTTTACGTATTTTACGTATGAGGGAGTTGACATGCAGTCTTCACATGAGTACACAGTTGCCTGACTCCAAAGCTTATGCTTCTGATATGTGATTTAGCTAGCTAATCAATAGCAAAACCCAAGCTAGAAACCAGTTCCTCTTCAGGTTTCTATCAATTATACCACATTGTCTCCAAGATCTATGGTGTGTTCTTTCTGTGAATCTCAAACAGTTAAAAATGAAGTACTAATAACTCTTATTTTCATATTTGACAGGAACCTGTGAAATACATTAGAAACAACGTTCTATAAGTTTATAAACTTCATTTCTGGGTCTCAAGTAAGCAGCATTTAGTGGCCCCTAACACATGGAATATTACCTGTGCACTGCTCAAAGGAATAAGATGTCACTGTGGGTGCCTTACAGTGCCCATGACAGATACCTTTAGAAGGAAGGCACCATCAGGAAATAGAGTGACTAGGGTGGTAGGAATGGGACTGGAGACTTTTTGTTTTTGAGCACTGAAGCCCAGTTTTCATTGCTCAAGGGAGGAAGTTAGGCACTGGCTTTTACTTTTATGGTTAAAGTAATACATACTTAAAAAGAACTCAAACTATATAACTGTCCTGGGAAAGGTGAAAATCTGACTCTCAGTTCTATTTTCCACGTGTAAGCACTTGTGGTATCTTTCTGAGTTTTTTTTTTTTTGTTTTTTTTTTTATCAAAAAGCCCTGAATCAGAGAGATGTAATGGGGGAAGGAACTTAAGAAGTCCTCGAGCCCAGTTTTTACATCTTGCAGAAAATGAGAGGTTCTTAGAGATTATGTAGGGGCACAGTTGTGATAGTAGAATTGGAACTAAAATCTAGGGCTGTTAATGTCCAAGTTAGCAGTGCTTAGGCTTGGGATGGGAGCCTATGCCATTGGACAAAACCAGGCGTACTGTTCTGGTCTAGACAAGACCTGGCTGTGAAAAGCAAAAGTTGAACTGAAGTTCAGATAAGATTGAGATGTCATCTTCTCAAGTAAAAAATTTTCTTTTTATTGTTTATCCTTTGTAATCTTAGATCAGCTTCTTTTCAAACTGAGAGTTATGTTATAATACCCCATTTCTGAGCTATTAGCTCCTACATTTCTTTTCTTTTTTTTTTTTTTTAACTCTGATCATAAAAACTAGCAATGGAAGTTGAGCTATTGGAAGCCCCCAACAATTAGGTCAGGCCTTAGTAGTTCTCCATATGAGAGCTCTGGGTTTAGCTGGAATTTCCATGTGACTGCATAATACAGCCGACCTCTGTTCCTCTCAGAAACTTATCTGCACTCTCTCCCCTACTTGCCCTCTCCTAAGCCCAAACACATTTGGGGATACCAGAATTTGTGTTATTGTATCTTCATTTTAATAACATTGGGAAGTTTTACTATACAATTATGCAAATAACATTATATGGCCACGCAGGACTTCGAGTATCCTGGCTCTCTGAGCCGTTGAAGTGTGCCTGAAGTAATATCAGAAGCAATATCTTAGTTGCATCGAGGTTAAGTATACAATGGAATGAAAAAACATATAATTTGGACAGTGGAATTTAGTCACATTACCATTGATTGCACTTGAAAGAACACAAAAATGTAACCCATTAAAAAAAATACAAGGCATGTGGGGGAGCAAAGATAACTATCCTTCTACTAGGTTCTTGGCAGAGACTCCCCTGTAATGAAAGACAAATTAACAGAAAAAAAAAAAAAAAAACCAGAAGTTTAATAACTTAAAGTCCACCCG